CAATCTTTTGACGAACTGGTAAGTTAATTTGTTATAATAGTTTACAATTTCTTATAAATAAATTATTATTAAGTTTATATATATATATATATTTATTATTTGTATATAATCAATTATCAGGTTTTACTCACTGGACACCACCTCCAAAAACAACATACAAATATGCGTATCTCAATTTCTCCTCTGGAGAGGTTAACTGTCACGTTAAGGTAAAGCCATCAATTATATTATACCTAATACATATTTTCTTAGTAAGTTTATGAATCTTTACAAACTTTTAATAATTCTAGTTTCTACGAGAAGAAATGTAAATCGTAATGTATGTTTGATAAATGATAATATTTACATTTACTAATGTTATCATGAATTGTTAAATAGTAGGTATCTATATTATAATATAAGTAATACATGATATTTTTGAATTGGTATTTTTTTTAATTAAAAAAGCAATTAAACTACATTGATACACAAATTGTATAATAATAATACTCCATACCTACATGATTTCATTGATGGTTATAACAATATAAATCAAATTAAAATTAAATACTTAAAAATTGAATAGTATCTGTAACAAAATGTACTTTACTCAACAAATTAATAGTATATTAATAGTTCATAAAAAAAAAAAAACAAAATTAGGTACTTTCCAAATATTTAATTAGAAAAAAAACATAACACACTACCTGTGAGTTCCAAAAAAAAAATCAATAATTATTGTTAGAGCTTGATGGAGTAGATGTAGATGTAGTTGGAGGAGTGGATAAAGGAGAATTGAGTTGAGAATAGTATGGAAGATTGGCAGAGTGACAAGCATTTGTTTGAACAGCAGATGTTGGTATAGTTGAAGTAGAAGAAGAAAAAGGTGCACTATGGTAAGGTGGGTATTGAGGATACGAGTAGAAAACGTCATTGGGCAAAAAGGAATGTTCTGAGGGTTTAGGATAGTCATTGTTCACTGGAGGAGGAATGTATGGTGGTTGAGACTGATAAGCAATGTTTGAATTTTTAACTTTTCTTATACTTTTTATAAATTCAATGTAAACTTCATTTTGTTGGTCCTGTGTTAGCGATCTAATTTGTGGAGCTAAGGACATAAGAAATGAAGTCACCGGATCTTCAACACGGCGATTTGCCAACACTGTCAATAATTTTTCTTCAAACGTGTTTTTCGTTTTTTTCTTTTTTGGTTGGACTTCAAAATCTTCTCCAGTGTCTAGTGTTGATATATCAACACCCGTGCCTCTTACTAAAATTGATTCATCGTCATCTCTTTCATCCTCATCACTTTCGATAACATTACCTTCAGTCCTGTATAACATAATAAGTAAGCAAATAAAAAAGAAAACATGAAAGTTTAAAATAATAAAATATAATATTAAGTGTATATTACATTCTGTTTTCCATTGTAGGTCTCATAAACTCCAAAATGTCTGAGTAAATATATTTTTTATTGTTTTTAGCGGCTTGACCAGATTTCGTAATACATTTTTTTCTGTAAGCATCTCGAATATTTTTCCACTTAATTTTAAGTTCTTTTACTAATTAAAAAACCAAAACATAAAATATTTAATAGTTACAGTCCTCAACCATAATACACAATAATATATACAAATAATAAGAAACAATGTATTAAAATTTTCAATTTTTTTCACCGAGCAAAAAATTATAACATTTTATATTCTGAATTTCTGACCAATGTCTTAATAAAAAAAATATAAAAAAAACACACATCATTGTAAAGTTAATACATTCATTGATCCACTGAAGAAAGTCTAAAGTCTCTCATGCTTATAAATAGCTCAAAAAGAATAAAAAAAAATTGAAAAATATTGATCATGTACATGTATAGTAGGTACCTAAATAATTGTGTAAAAATAGTATCTACGGTATTAGGTTTTTAAATTACAACAAAATTCTAAAGAATATTTCTAAGAAATATAGTTGTTTTACGGGATGATATCAAATATCGTAACATTTTTAAATTAAAACGCTCATTAAAAATATCGATGTTGTTTCGGTAATTTTTTTTGTACCATATTATAATATTCAGATATTTGGCTTGTGGAACACATTTCTCAGCATTACATTTCGAGTTTCTAATGGGAGTGTCGACCATATCGAATATAGTACAGGAAACATGCGAGGTTATATGGGATATATTACAGCCAATTGAGATGTCAGAGCCCACAACTGATGATTGGCTGGATATAGCATCAGGATATTTCGATAAGACCCAGTTTCCAAATACAGTCGGGGCGGTGAGTAACCTATATATTGACTAACACAAATTTATTGTTTGCTTGTCTTAAATAACATAAAATAAAAATAAAAATATTTGATTTGTTTTTTAATGATTAGATAGTTATTTATATCAACCTTCGAAAAATAAAAAAAACATCTAGGTAGATAATATGCAAAACAAAATTATACATTTTTAGAATGTATTTTAAAATTATTTAAAAATTATTAATTTTAAAAAAATATTTTTTTTTTTTATTTGTGTTAAGTTAGTCTTAGTTCGATAACTAAGGCTATTAGCCTAGGGTACTGTGAGGGAGGGTACTGTAAATTTTTAAAATGTGTGTGTATGTGTAAAAAATTATTAAGAAATCATTACATGTTGCATGTTCCTATACCTGATAAATTAACTAATAATAATAATATATAGGTTAACAAATTGATAATTTGATTGCAGCAAATAACAAAAAAAATTTTTTTATTAATAATTACAGGTTGATGGAAAACACATACGGCTAGAATGCCCCAAAAATAGTGGGTCTCTGTATTACAATTACAAAAATTTTTTTTCACTTATACTTATGGCCATTTGTGACTCAAATTATTGTTTTCGCATCATTAATGTCGGATCTTACGGCAAAGAAAGTGATTGCAATGTTTTTAAAATGTCACCATTCGGTAAGAAGTTATATTCCGATAAAACAAACTTTCCACCCGAACGATGTCTACCTGGGGATGATCAAGGCGTACCACAACCATTTATACTGGTGGCTGATGAGGCTTTTGCTCTCAATAAAAATTTATTGCGACCGTTTCCTGGCAGAACTTTAAATGACGAACGACGGATTTTTAATTACCGTTTGTCTAGAGCCCGTCAGTACATTGAGTGTTCGTTTGGAATTTTGTCAAAGAAATGGAGAGTGTTTCAAACGAGCATGCTAGTGGAACCAAATTTTGCGGTCAAAATTACCAAAGCCTGTTGTGTCTTACACAACTTTGTGAGACGCCGTGATGGGTTTAATTTTGAGGATAGCTTGAATGGTGGTATGGATAGCATAACTGAGAGAAGAGGAGTTGGCAATGCTCAGACAAATGCGAAGGATGTCAGGGAGTATTTTGTAAAATATGTCAACCACCCAAATAATGCGCTTAGCTGGCAAAATAAAATAATTGGTAAGTAAACCAATTACCACTTATGTCCAAAAAATTATGTTTTTATCATTTTACTAATTTTGTTTGTAAAACACATTTACGTATATTTTATACTTATATTTTACCTAAGCTTATATTTATTTTGTGCCTTATTTTATAATTTCATATGAGTTTATTGTATACGCCATTCATAAATATGTAGAGGTTACTTGACTTATAAAATATATACAAAAGTACAAAACCGTTACCTATGATTATTTTTTATTAACCATCAGTATTGCAATATTGTTATCTACCCTTAGTAAGTAAGGATCCACGTATACAACTCAAATGTTAAGTGTAATAAACTAACAAGTATTGATCAAAAATCAAAATGTATTGCTATTTTTTTTCTTATATAATTATAGGTATATAATAATATGAAATCTTACTTTTTTCTGCCTTCTTGCTGTCATCAAGTTCTTCAAACTTTTCAGAACAAGTCTTGGCTACATTTGTCCAACCAACATGTAGCTGTTGCAAATCATGATGACTTTTTGCCTCTATTATAATATCATATATTAGATAAATAAATATATCTTAATAATACGTATAGAAAGAAAGATATGTTTTTACTTTTTAATCTATGTGTAATTAATAAGTGCTAATTATTAAAATAATTATTAAACGATACGATACTTACGTTTATCCCATATACAGTTATTTTGCTGTATTTCTAAAATAAATTGTTCGGTATCGAATGGCATTTTAAATGTAAAATTTAATTATGATATTATAATATGACTGTAGGTATAGTAGGTAGTACTAGGTACCTAAAAAAACATATTCTACCTATATGAATTAATAACAATTAATAAAAAATATTAATTAATAATGGCTGGAACATTAAAATATTACTAAAATAAAAATACTCAGTGCACACACGTCAACTGAATATTCATAAATGACAAATACGCTGGAAAAAACCGCGGCGGTTGGCGGACGATCCACCTCGTATGAATATGGCCATTGGAAATCCACAGTTTAATTTTAGCTAGCGGATGCGGTCGACCGCCCGAAAATTGAACAAGCGCGATTCCAGGCGGTCGACCGCCGAAGACCGCGGTCGTCCGCTAGCCATTTTACTTCGTTTGAATGTACCCATTTAAATATAGGTGTTTAATTTTTAAGGAAAATCCGCGGCGGATAAAAACCGCGACCGCGCGCGGCTAAACCGCTCCGTGTGTAACCAGCTTTAGAGTTCTAAGAGGGGCTCAATTTTCAATACTACTTATGTAATATTTTTCACGTAATATTTGAAAAATGTATATTTATTTTAATGACCTGCTATAGAAGAGCTTCGCTCTATTTTATTATATAAAAATTATTTATGTTGATGTCTGTGGTGGAAATACATGCGCGAGTCTTAACCGGTTTGTATTATATTTTTACGTAGGTATGATTTAATATTGATATGCGAATCATATCATAAAATTCTTTTTTAAATCTAAGATTTTAAAATGTAATATAAGATTCCTTATAAGATTATCTATCTTTATCAAAAAAAAAAGAAAATGTCTACAATCAAATAAATTAAATTTTTATGAGAAGCATTAGCTTTACAACTGATGAAACCGAATATTGAAAGACGTATTAAAAATTCAAAATTACCAAAACATATTAGGAGTCGTTTAATGAAAATTTTAGGTCTCGTTGAAGATACACCTATTTTGTCTGAACGTCCTAAGGGAATTGGTCGATGTTATTTGTGTGGAAGAGCAAGAAACAAAAGTACGAGAAAATCATGTGAACGTTGTTACAAATGGGTGTGTCCAGATCATTTAAAATATATTTGTATTGGGTGTTGTGATGAAGAACAAAGTGAAGAATCACCTTAAATTATTTCAAAATGTATTTTTTTTTTATGATTAAAAATTTAACATGTACAAATTTATAAAGTACCTTGTTTTTTTTGTAATTATTAATATAGAGAGCTAAAATATATGTAAGATACTTAAATATTAATATGTTTATACAGAAATATTATAAAAATTTAATTACATCGAGTATCATTACAATTTCTAATTATCATTACAAATTCTAATAAATTATTATTTATTCTCATTTAAGTTAAAGTTCATATTCTAAGGTAAAAAAAATTTAATTTTAATTTTTTCTTTATCGCAATATATTTTTCCATATGTACTTAGTATATAACAATAATTTAAATTTTCAATATAGACTTAGAACCTATTCAAAAAAAATAAAAAAATAAAGGATTACAACTGTAATCCACGCGACTACTGGCGTACTATCAAGGCACAGGGTTAAAAATAAAAATAAAATATCATATAATTTTAAGTTATTTCCAAAATTAATAAATTTTGTTTAATTGTATTTAACAATAACTTTTCAAGGTTTTCAATGTTTAATTTCGAATGATCATGAATCTGAGGGTTTTGGTGATTTAGTACATCTTTACCTTCCTACTTATGTTCAAACTGAAAAAGCGGAACTGAGTTTATGGCATACAAAACTTTTATGCTTAAGAAAATCTCCAAAACAAGGACTTGATGCTATCAAGTTGTGTAATCGTGAATTATTTCCTAATTTGTTTGTTATCAACAGCCACACCAGAAAGAATTTTTTCATGGCTCAAAGGTTTGAAAACTTATTTGAGAAATACTATGGTGGAGGAAGTATGCTGTACTTATTATAATATAATAACATATAATTGGAATAAGTATTAAACTACCAGTTAAAATATAAATACATTATACACTAACTTAATGCTTTATATATTAGTACATTATGTTAATATATATATATATATATAAATGGTTTTTTTTGTTTAATCAGAAATATTTTTGACAGAATAACATATAAAATAAAAATAAAAATTGATTTATCCATCTCCTGTAAGCTTATACTTGTATTGGTGATAAGGAGTTACAAAACGATAAAATTAATTATAAATTATTATATTATATAGACATAGCATTAATAATATACAAACATATCTGATCATTACTTCAGGTATTGAAAGAAAAATAGGATATAAAATAGAACATACAATATCAGATACAAAACGTAAATAAAGAACAAACTATAACAACTAGGTATAAAAATAATCATAAAAACATTTAACAATAATTTTATTAATCATTTTATTTTTTACTATATATTTTAGAAACCCTAGTTCATGAATTAAAGTTTATCCAGATTGTTAAACAGCCAATCAGATACTATTGATTTCGCCCAGTTAGATGTCACTCTAATTTTATTTTTTAGTTCATTATTCATGGAATTGAAACAAGTAGGACCTAGATAATCTAGAAATCTTTGACCAAACGAGGTATTTGTGTAGGCTACAGGTGCATTATATGCTCTGTTTCTCCTCCTATTTTCTATTTTGATTGTATTGTACCAATTGTTTATATTTTTTATCATCCCATTTGACTCATGGATTTCTTATGGTCAAAGGAGAACCTTCTCAATGTGAATGGTGTGGTTTTCCCGTTATTTTCCTTTGAAAGACTACGGAGGACAGGATTAGTAGCTCTTCCTACCTACATCCCAAAGTCCAAGTCATTACTTGGGAATAGATATTTTCTTTTATCACAATTTGAACAGCTTTTAACCACACATTTCTTAGAAACCATGCTGAAATTCAAATAACATAGGTGTTTATTTTTTATCATCGTAAATCGAAGTTATACAGTTGTCAATTAAAACTTAAATGTCTATTATCTTATGTTTGGTGTACGATGGTATTTACTAATAATTGCTTTGTTCTGACGGTGGTCGGTTGAAGCTTATAATTACAAACAAAGTAAAAATCTATAAACTGACCATCATAGACAAAGAAAATAGAAACTGATAATGAAAATGAAAATAAACCATATAAATAAACCATAGTGCCCTCATACGTGAGTTTTTAAGGAATCTATAAATATGAAATTTAGTATTGCTACTTTTCATGTTTTTGCTGCCACTATAGCAACCAACAAATGCACAAACTGGCATAAAGACAAAGGCAAGAACAACAATTTACAAATAAAAAAAACAGTGAAAAATAAAAGAAAATGTACCAAATATAGTAAAAAATATATTATTACTTTATCATTAATCGAACAATGCAATCAAAATCTCATAAAAGGCGCGTTAAATATAAGCCTATCAAATAATGACGAGGATGACTCCCGCCCTATTCTGCGTTGACTGAAAGAAATTAAGTTTATTGTGATCATACCTTGTTAATTCGTCATGGCTGTTATGTTCCGTGTCAGTCTGGTCGAGGTTAGTGTAGGATGTTTGTGGGCGACGTTCATAATGATAACGAACAAGTCTTAATGAAGTGTAACTGATGTCCACGCCGGACGTTTATTTAAAAAAACAACTTTGAGGCGGCGTGGCAAAGGCCGTGGTTATAACAAAAATTGCAGTTCCTTTACACAGTGGTTGAAACTAGAGAAAAACTGTACCTACGATCGGTGAACACACTGACACCGATCGTAGGTACAGTTTTTCTCTAGTTTCAACCACTGTGTAAAGGATCTGCAATTTTTGTTATAACCCCGTCGGTGGCTTGGTGAACGAGAGATATTCTGCAGGCGGCCGGTACTCATCCACCATTTCTCTTCCCGTCCCGCCTTGTGCCTTTTGGAAAGGTGGAGAATCGACGGTGTCACACCGTCGTTGCCTGCGATGGCGGTTAAACAATTGGTAAGCGTAGAAGGTCGCTCCGGTGCCTGTACTTTGTACTGGTCGCCGTTGCGTACCATATCAGCACTCTCTCATGAAACAGAGTGTTTTAAGACGGATCGATCACCAAGAGTTAGAAAATAGTATTTTTTTGAAGTTACCAGTATCTAATGAAGACACTCTGACTTCTTTTTTTAATTATGCAAATAAATTGTTCATAAAAAATATTATAATCTTAACTTCAATAATAAAAACAATAAGTGCAGGGCTGCCACTAAGTCACTTTTTTTTTGTAAGTCTCTAAAAGTCCCGTTTTTTTCACTAAAGGTCACTAAAAGTCACTTTTTTAAAATATAATTGACAGTTTTTTTAAAATCCTCGTTTTTTGTATAAATCTATTATCTATGTATAAAATCATGATATTGATAAAATAAGTTATATTTAAATATTTTATGTTTTACCATCTCTGATTAAAGTTAACCGGAGTTTAATCGTCCAATTTTGTTATCAGCTGATTAAGCTTATAGCGTTTTCCACCACACTGCACTGTTGCACCAAGGTTGCACTGGTGCACATTATGCATGTTCCACCTGGAACACTGGTGCGCACTGGAAGACATTTATTATGTTTCACCTCAATACACTCGGGCAGTGTTTTGCACCGAGTGCATTGATAGTTGCACGAGCTCAAGTCGACGGTGGGCTTTATCATTTTTTGATAAAACTGATACCGTGTGATAAATGTTTGATAATACAGATAACAAATTTTATGATTTTAAATTTGTAAAGATTTTGAATTTTTGGATCTGGATAGTGTTTTACGAGTTTTAGACTTTTAGAGTATATAAGTTCCCGTGCCCAGGTATAATGAACAAACAACAGATTTTTGTTGAGCGATGATGATGAATTGATTTATAACATTATTAAAAAGCCTGTTATAAGACCTAACATTTATAATTTTATTCTAAATGTTGTTCACTCGTACTCAGATAAACAGGTATCCACATAAATTCTCATTAAACATTTTTATATTTATTATTTTGAATTATAATTTGAATGTGCAAAAAAAATATGATTTATATTATATAATATAAATGTTATTTTAAGGTAATATATACTCTGTACCAAATAAGAGCGCACCGGGCGGCGCACGAAAACCGGTCGAAACTCGCGCATGTCAGAGAGCGCTGCCGCAGCGTATTCTGGCGCCGGCCAGGTCAACTCTGAATACAGAGTGTTGTATATTATCACACCAATTTTAACGGTGTACGCGGTTAGACGTTGTTATATTTTTTGCGCGCATTAGTGAATATTTTGAATGTTTTTAATATTATATTGAGTTCAATACCTATGTTAAGAAAAAAAAAACGAAAAGTATGTGTATTATTTTACTGATTAATACGCGTGAAACGCATTATTACTTCAGCTCCCTGTATTCACGGCGGCGAATCCGACCGACGATCGGCGACCAATCACAGAGCGAATAGACCCGACCAGGGGGTCCAGACGTCGCTCCGCGATTCATTTGGATGCGCCAACGCGGTGCGTTCTTATTTGGTACAGAGTATAGGTGTATCCAAAATATTGGATACCTAATATATGTTATTTTTAGTTTATGGCCAGCTTTAGAATGGAAAGAACTACAGCATATTACATAATAAAAACATTTGAAGATTCTACTTTTTTCCCACAACAGCATATGTAATATGTATGAACCTAGTCAAACTTCAGAAAATTATATTCTTTCATATATATGGTAATCAAAAGATTTATTTTTTATGTTACAGTCAAACAAAACTGAAAAAATATTATATTTTATAGGTTTTCTGCCAACAAATCATGTTTACGAGATGTGGCTGAACGTTTTGGTAATTTCTTAACAACTCAATTCCGTATTAATGATAGAGTGATGAACTTTTTGATTGAACTTTCACCCAAAGTTATAAATTTTGATCAAGGTATTGCTAATTTAGCTAGGGAGTTTCAAAAAGGTATGCACTGGGGTATTTCAGATCAGTTTTAAGGGCAATATGATACCTGTAATTAGTCATAATAGATTGAACTAATGAATAATTATGACTACCAATCAGGGACTGGTACCTTCTGGTTTTTAAGGTTCCGGTTCCGGTTTTGTGAAGTTAATTTAAGAGTTTAAATTAGGATTCTAGTCAAAACCAGCATTAAATTATTACAAAAATGAGATTAAATTCAGATTAAATGTTTTACAAGTACCTACATTAAAATATTAAAATAGTAGTACCTAATCAAATATAAAAAATATGTTTTATCAAAGCTGGTGTATTTCAATCTGGTATAAGGATTATAGTCGATATTGAGCATAAGCCACTGAAGAAAATCCAAAATAATTTATCATTGTAAAACCCGGTTATTTTTGGTTCGGTTACAGTCCCTGCTACCAATGTATATTAATTTATTATAAAAATGAATCTGTTGTAATAAATAAATGTATTTGTTATTACAGAAATTATATCCGTTATAACAAATATTGAGAAACATTTTCTATGATTTGGGTGGCACTCCTACGTTTCCGTAAGTCCCCTAAGAAAGTGGTTAATGTTCTGAATGATGATATCCCAGCCAAAAATAATCTTTTATAATAGAATACATTTAGGTATATTTAAAAATTTTATATAACTCATTGATTATGACTGTTGGCTTGAGAAATATTAGATATCATAAAAATTAAATGGAAAAATTTATATTTAATAATTAACAATGATTACTGGATTGATATATACTTACACATTTATATGCACTTAAAATGTACGAAATATGCATGTATTTATGCACTGATTTTCATTCAAATATGCAAAAAATATAAACAAAATTGCAATTTAATTAAATTTATTTAGTATAAAAATGTATATAATTCATTAAATAATTAGCATGGAACAAAAAAATGTATTATATGCCTAGTTAAAATAATTTAATTGTTAATTGTCTATATTATAGATCTAGCGAAACCACAGCCGCCTACTGTGAGTTTCGCGACCGTGGACGCACGGTATAGATCGCGTCCCCAGGTTGCGGATAGGGGGAAGCCCGGTTCCCTCGGTCGCTTCCGAGTCGGGTAGCCGGCGAATAACTAATACCCGGCCGCGGACAGCTTCGATCAAATGACCCGTAGTTCCGGACAGTATGTCCTCTGGGCCGGTTCACGGTCGCCGGTTGGGCCACCGACCCAGCCGGTGGTGCTCTTAATACGAGTTGAGAGCACGGGCGCCGGAGTTCGCTCCGTCCAGCAGCCGGGCGTCTCAGCGTAAGCCGGGTTCGGGCATGTCTCCGGGACACAGCGGTGAGTGTTACGGGCTCGCGGCTGATGGCTCGTCTGCTTAGAGCTCCTAAGTCGGTAGGCGAGGGTGGTCGTCGCAAATTGTCCCACCTTTGACCGAAAGGTAGGGCTGCCGCCAGTTTGGGCAGGGCGCCACGACTCGGCAGGCACTGAGTCGGGACGTTCGGCCAGACCGACCCAAAGAATGGGTCCTTGCTGGTGACGGTTCGAAAGGGTGGTGGCCGAGATTAAATTCGCACCTCGCGGGCGCTCGTCCGCGGTTAAGGCAAACCAATGCCCGTCTTGCCGGACAGAACTGGTAGATCTCGAGGGGGCGACAGTCTGACTGAAGACGCTTCAGTACCACGGGAGTGAGTGGGGCCCCGTCGGCAACGACGCCGCTCACCGCGGGCGTCCAGTGACGGTTCACGCCCCTGGGCGTCCGTTGCCGGTAGGAATCGTGGTGGCGATTTTCTTACGAATACTTTGTGGTTAAGTCAATAGATACTTATTCTAAGTTCTCGCTGACAGGCGAAAACCTCTGATGAATGGCCGCCACGACCCGGGGGCGCGAGTCACCGGTTCGATGTCGGTTCCTCTCGGGTGTCTAGCCGCTATACCGGTGTAGTATCATCGGAGGTTGGGTGTAACCAGAAACACTCGGTGTGGGGATAGCACACAGCCAGACCAGGCGAATTCAGGCGGCACTTGGCCTGTCTTCTTGGTACGGGACCTCGGTCCCGGTGCTCGTGGTCCTTAGACGACGCGCGGCCGGCGGACTGAGCCACCGTACGTCGACCGTGAACCTCCGCGGCTCTCGACTAGCGCACAGCGCTAATGTGAGTCCGCGGTTGTAGCCGAAAGGCATCAAACCCGGGAATCTTCGTGTCTATATTATAGATATTTCATTAATAGTTGTTTTAAGTCTAGGTGTCTGGAATGCCTAATGCCATTGGATGTATTGATGGAACGTCTATTCCTATACGAACACCAGCTCACAAAATTAAAAGTACTTATACAAATAGACATGACATGCCATCAATTACACTACAAGGAGTATGTGATTACAAAAAAAAATTTATCGATGTATATGGGGTACCTGGGGTACCTGGAAAGATACACGATGCCAGAGTATTTGTTTTATCTGATCTAAGTAAAGATCTACCATCCATATGTGATAAGAAGTACAATTTACTTGGTGATGGAGCATATCCTATCCGAGAATGGTTACTTGTACCGTATAAGGACTATGGAAAATTAACTGAACCACAGAAAACATTTAATAAAACGTTAAGTTCTACAAGAGTGCTAATTGAAAATACGTTTGGTCTTCTCAAGTCCCGGTATAAATTTGGTCATACCTTCAGTGAAAATAACTTGATGTGTAGTTTCTCTTTCACCTAAAACCCAAATTAATAAGTGTTAAACATACAATTAGAATATGTTAATATTTGTTTATTAGAACATTTTATTTCACTAGAACATTCAACAGTAGTAGTTGTAGCATTATTAGTTATTTCATTGGGCTTGTCTACTTCTTCGTTTTCACTATAGAGACTAATGTTATCCCAATCAACAGTTTGACGACAATGACTATCTTTAACATTTTGCACATTCTGCGTATTCATTGATTCAACTGAAGTAGTGAAGTTTATATTTCTAAAACAACATAAATACAGTATGTTAATTTTCAAATTTAATAATTATTACCTAACTAAATATTAATTGTGTTAAAATATATTTAAACCAGACATAGTAAAATGAAATGGCATAACTTGGGCATTATCCTGTTTGAATTTTAATGCGGTGGCCTACAAAGTTAACCCCTATGATAAAATGTACATGCAAATTATACATGTAGTTTTAAAACAAATTTTTTGTTCAGAGGATGTGTTAAAATCTTATATAAAAATAGATCATTATACCTAAATCACAAAATAAATTTAGTTTACCTTTTTAGAATTGAAACTTTAAGCTTTATTGAAAAAAGTTCATTGATCAATAATGACGCAGTAACATGTACCATTTATTTCAACAAATTAGTCAATGTTATAATGACAATATTGCAATCTAAAAGATTAACTCCTTTTGGAAAGTATAGGGTTTTCAACTACTTTAAACGAATTGAATTTCAACATCGTGGCAGCCCACATGCACATATTTTACTATGGCTTGAAGAAGCTCCCAAAGATATTCTTGGAGAGGAAAAAGAACAAGCAATAGAAATGATCGACAGTTTAGTATCAGTATCCGCATCAGAGGCATCTGGGAATATCAAATCAGAGGCATCTGGAAACGCATAAACACACTTTCACATGCTATAAAAAAGTTGTAGCTAACACAGTACAAAAATGCCGATTCGATACACCATTCATGCCTTGTACATCCACCATGATTTTCATACCATTGGATAAATGTCCAATCAACCATTATTCATCAGCATACCGCCGTCAGGGCCGAGTCACTGCTGACACCACTAAGTCGAGCCGTTCACGCCGGTAATTACACTGGTTGCTACACTAGTTTACCGTGCCTCTGATCGCGCGCGCCATACGAGCCGAGCCAGCCACCACCCGAACTGTAACCGTGAGTATTATGTTCGCAAATCCCCCCCCCCATATTTATGTTATCCCCAAATAAACTATTTTAAATGTACACTCGTAAGAGTATAATATAATAGAGAAAGAAATACTGTACAACAATTATTCAATTTTGTCTGTATGAAAAATAATACGTATGAAAATAAACGTTCAATAAAATCAACACAACAAACCAAGCGTTGAATTTTCATTACAATAAAGAGTTGAATAGGATGGTAGCTTCTTTCAATAATTTTAAAGCTTCACTTTTGTCATCTTGACTATCGATCCTAACTGTTTTAAACAATGGATGCGTCACAGATGATATTATAAAAAAGGGATCTTTAAACTGAGAATGGAATCGTTTATAATATTAAATATTAGTGGCTTACAATAATCCATTCTTTTTTCGAACAAATCTTGATTGAAGGTATTTCAGAATGCATTTTACCGAATCAAAAGTTGAGTTCCATATTGTTTCATTATATATAATTAGATGAATGCCAATTGCAGTTTTAATAGAATCTGCTACTAATGTGGATCTATTTTGCTTATTCCAAATACTATTATATTTAGCATTTCAGAATTACTATAAAGATACTACTTACTACATACTACTTAGATGGGTGATTATGATTTTAAGTCATCAGGAGAAATTTCATTTTATAAATTTATGTAGGTACAGAGGAAAAAAACCTGTAGTTGCTGTGCTATCCATTCATAAGGGAGAATATATTACAGTGGTCAAGTGGCTGAGACGCGAACAAAATTATAATTACATTAGTGAAAATGTATTATTTAAAAGCTATAAAATGCTGAATAAATATCACACAAAGTGTGAAAAAATAAGTTTTGTTAGAAAACAAATTGCATAATATAATTATATCGTAATATAATTACATTATATTTAAACTCTTAAATTTATAAAAATTATTATGAATGACAATAATATGTATATTTGTTGTATAATATTTATTTTTAATGCCATTTTATATCTAAATAATAATTACAGCTTGTGCATATTTTCAAAATATTGTTCACCTGTCTGATTTAAAATATATTTTAACTGTGAAATACTAAAAAGGAATTTTTAGTTAAAATGGATAAATTAATGTTATTACAGGTACCTTACAGGTTCCTATACTCGGACCGGCGAGAGAACGCTTCTCGTTTGCGCATATAAATGACGGAGCTCAGCGGTTTCGTACCCACAATTCTCCCACTCTACTACCTAGGCGCCGCCGTAAATTCTCCCACTCGTTACGCGTGACCAGCGGCAAATATCACGGCCGCCGTCTGTATACACCGGCTCAAGTAACACGAGAATAAATTAATAGCTGGCTATTGGGGCACCTATTATGTATTTAATAACAATGCAAATAATATGTATGTAATATCATATTTTATTTATGTATATCAACAACATAATACATTGTTATATAACATAATACACTTTATAATATTAACTTACTAAAAAATATTCAAATACAAAAAAATTAAAATAGTTCAAGTAAAAAATACAAAAAAAATCAAAATAGTTCAAAATCGTTCAGATTATTCAAATACAAAAAAATATCAAAATAGTTGATATACAAAATAATCAAAATATAAAAAAAATCAAAATAGTTGAAATACAAAAAAAAATCAATCAGAGTCACAATCAGAAGAACTTGTATCTCCTGTTCCTATCGTGAGAACATGACGTTCATCGTTTTCGGGTAGCTCGTCCATTAATTCGTCGTTAATATGTTCCAAGTCCCAAAACTTGTCTTCCACCTTTTTAACATGTTCAATAAAGTTTTTCCACATATCCGGACTTACGTGTTCTACGCCTTTTATTAACAATTCCATTACGTCCTTTAATTTGAAGGTGTTGTTATGCGTCCGGACATAACTTTTCACGGACGACCACGCGAGCTCGATAGGATTTAGCTCGCAGTGATATGGAGGTAATCGCAATACGAGTTTGTCGTTATCTTTTGCGTACTCATCGATTACGTATGTGTCGTGATGTTTTTTTATTTTGTAAACTTTTTTCATTAAATCATTTTTAACAATAGGATGAGTAACGATCACACCTTTACTCTCAAGCCAATCAATTATAGCTGTTTTTTCCAAGACCTCTTTGGTATTTTCTGTTTTTTTACGGAATGGTATGAAGCATTATCCATGACGATGATGGCGTTCGGTTTAAGTAATGGCAGGGTCTTAACAAACCATTCGTAAAACGTATCGCCATTCATTTCGTCATGGTAATCCGCAGAATTGGTCTTGGATTCGAAACACAAAAGGCCCCCCGGAACAAAACAATCTGACGACCGGATGTGTAATACAATGAGACGCTTACCTTTGCCGGAGCGTGCCTTTTGTCCTGTGGTGAGACCTCTCAGGTGTGCATCTCGTGTTGATGCGACTGATGTATCTACCCACGTTCTGCTATGCGTCTCGCCTGCATTGACCCACGTCTCATCTAAGTAATATATTGGCCTGTTCTGTGCTCGGTAATGCCTTATTTTCAACACATAATTTCGGCGCCAAGATATTAAATCTTCTCTTTCGAGAAGAGCACTGTTGCGATTTTTCTTGACGTACTCAAATTGTAAATCTTTTAATATTAATTGGAAAGACGTACGTTTCAGATTCGGTAATAAGTCGTCTTCATTGATGGCAATTAACATTTTTGAAATTGTTGGCACCTCACGGTTTCTCCAAAAATTGTGAATTTTTTGACTTATGGCATTTTTGTCGAATTCGTCCACTTTTTGAAGTACCGTAGGTCTCACTTTTTTTTATTGTACCTTGACACTGTACCTTCCTTTTTATATTCTCCCAATGTCGTTTGAATTGTACGTTGCCCAATTCGTTCTTGAAATGCTAACGATAAGCTCCCTGAACGACAATTTGGGCATCTCTGGATTTTCGAGCTGTTGTTTGATTTTATCCTTGTACACATTAATAATTATATTCTTTTGACCAGTGCCAACGAACTAAAAAAAATATATATATTTAAAAATTAAAAATTAAAAATATAATAAAATTTAAAACAAAATAAATTAACTTAACTTACTTTTTAAAATGAAAAATTAATTCGTTAATTTCACGTTTAGGAAGTAAGTTAACAGTTAAGTTAATGAAAAGCCAAAAGTAACTAGTTAAGTTAAAAAGTTATAATAAAATTAACTTTTTAACTTTTTAACTCGTTAATGCCCATCCGTGAAAAATAGTAAAGAAACACTTACTTTTCCTTTTGGATTTTTTTTGCATGGAGAAATATTTGCGACGTCTTCCATGTTGTCCATGTTATTCGTATAAAAAAACAATTACGTAATTAAACACGAAAAAAATGTATGTGCGCAAAAATGAAAATTTTATGTATGTAGGTATACGTAAACGCGTAATATTATGGTAACACTATTATATACTCTGTACCAAATAAGAACGCACCGTGTTGGCGCATCCAAATGAATCGCGGAGCGACGTCTGGACCCCCTGGTCGGGTCTATTCGCTCTGTGATTGGTCGCCGATCGTCGGTCGGATTCGCCGCCGTCGACGCCGCCGTGAATACAGGGAGCTGAAGTAATAATGCGTTTCACGCGTATTAATCAGTAAAATAATACACATACTTTTCGTTTTTTTTTTCTTAACATAGGTATTGAACTCAATATAATATTAAAAACATTCAAAATATTCACTAATGCGCGCAAAAAATATAACAACGTCTAACCGCGTACACCGTTAAAATTGGTGTGATAATATACAACACTCTGTATTCAGAGTTGACCTGGCCGGCGCCAGAATACGCTGCGGCAGCGCTCTCTGACATGCGCGAGTTTCGACCGGTTTTCGTGCGCCGCCCTGTGCGCTCTTATTTGGTACAGAGTATAGTACACGCTGTATACAAACACTGACACAGTTTCAAGGGCGGCGACGGCCAGAGTTGACGGCGGTCAGGGTTAGGTGGTGGGAATGCGCGAGATCGGACGAATTTTGGTCGCCGCCCAAAAGCGTTCTCTCGCCGGCGCGAGTATAGTTCCATTAATTTTTGATTACCACTGGTTTCTGTAGATTTAAAATTAAAGTTATTTTGCAGTGTTATGGATACAAATTAATTAAATTGAATACAATATTTCCTATTGTACTACGTCCCAACAAAAATTCATATTGTAACGCCACAGAATGTGTCCCAACTGACAGATATCTGAAATAATTTATAATTTTCAATACCGTAAAAAGGGGCGACTTCGAACAAATCAGTTTTATCAATATATATTGATTACAGAAACATGCTTTCAATCCACGATTATAAAGAACGGGTTAAGCATCGCGCGCTGTGTCAGCGGTCAGAACTAGTTACGCACCGCGTAGTTCATAAAACCGCCGAGCGCTGCTAGTCAGATGTGCTACATTATCATTATTCTGTAATAATCCCAATGGAAAAGAACGTTTTTACGCTTGCAATGTTTTGTAAAAATGTAAAGTATTCTAATAAATGTAATATGTATTCATATACTATTTTTTTATTCGAATACTATTTTAAATACTTTATGAAAAAATTATTTGAATACATATTCCGAGTACAAAATATAAGTACACTTATGAATATATTCATTATATGACTGCGCCTAGGTTGCAAATCGTGCTCAGACACCCGAACACTCAAATACTTAATTTCTTATATCCTTAAAATATGGGTCAGTGGGTTTTGGTTGGTGGAAGGAAAATAAGACATTTAATTGTTAGCTATAACAATATTTACGGAAACTGCAAACGTTTGAATGTGAAGGGCAAATATCTTTATATATAAAAATGAATGTATGTGTATGTGTGTGTGTGTCCATATTACCATGGAAACCATATATATATATATATATACAGAATGATTCTTTTATCAAACAACACTCATTATTTGAAAAAGTATTGTCTTTTTTCAAATTTTTTTTTTTCAAAATTGTATATTTATGCTGTTCTAGAATTGTATATTTTTTTATATTTTTCACCCTTATATTTAATAGGTAAACCACTATCAACTTTTGATTTTCAAATGGTAACCTATACTAAAAATTTCATAATTGAATAAAACTATTTTTTTCATTAATTATTACGTTCAAATTTTCATTTTTCGTTAATCCGTTGATGAGATATTGCTCCTCAAAGTTAGGTGGTTTTTGGAGATAGTTATAGTGTGTAAATTTGTTATACCTTTTTTTTTTTTTTTTCGGGTTTGAACCGACGACGTCGCGGGAACTGCTTTCGCAATGCTTCCGCGACGCCGCCATCGTTTATTTGAAATAATAAAGACAAATAATTATACATACGGGAGGGGTAGACGGGACACTTCCCCGACTTACCCCCCCTCTAAACATGACAGTACATAGCATATTACATTTTACATTATCAGCAGTTGTTGAGGCGTACACCTTTTGGCGGGCCGACCGGAGTCCGCCGCCCTGGTTCTCTCGTGCTGCTACTCCTATTGGCGGGCCGACCGGAGTCCGCCGCCCTTGAAACCTCGTTCTCTAGGTGTCCAGCGATGCCGTGATCGTCGTCCCGCCCGTGGTGTCACGGGTGGGGGATGAACAACGTGGTCGGTGACACCTCCGACGACTCGCGGTAGCGAGTGGTGTGAGTGTCTGTCCAGTTGTTCATCCTGATCCAGCTTCAGACTGAGTGCGCTGTCGTCAGTCGTACAACTGTTCCTCCCTTTCATCATCTTCTTTGGAGCACATGATTTTTTCCACCATCGCCATAAACTCACGTCTGTTGGTCTTTGCCTGTTCTACGATCCTTGACCGGGCTGTCAGATCGTCAGGTAGTTCGTCGGCCCTAGGTCCACACAGGAGTTCCTGAACGTCCCCGGGCTCTGGTGGGCGTCTTAAGATCCTGGTCAGGACAGCACGCTCGTCCTCCCACCTAAATTTGTTATACCTTTTTTTTTTTTTTTTTTTTTCAGTTTTGCACCGACGACGTCGCGGGAACTGCTTTCGCACTACTTCCGCGACGCCGCCATCGTTTATTAATTTAAATAAATGACGTTACATTTTATAATTAATATTTTACACCTTTTCATTTTGTCCCTTAATGGGCGCACATTTAAACAAATTTACATTTTAGTAGAAATAACATGTTGTTGGCTGAAGGCCCGCTGTTTGCGTTTTTTGTCTTCTCGACCCGGCTTTGCTGCCCGCCAGTCTCGAAGACACGTTCTGGGTCTTCCCGGCCCGGCTGGTTAGCCCGCCGGCCTCGAGTCTCGTGCCTCGTGAATTCTCATCTCATGTTCTGGAATTCCCGTCTCCGTTGTTGGTTTTCCAGTTTTCCTTCTGTCTCCGTCCTTGTGTGCTGTCGTCATCCGGGATCCGATTGGATCGCTGCGTCGCGTGGTGTCTGCATCTGCAGCCCCTACTTCCTCAGCCACCCTGACGATGACTGGTCGTCGGTGGGTGTTCTACTCCTGCGCAGCGGGCCCACGATCCGCTGTCGACAGTTTCGCTGAGTTTTCGGGGTGCGGAGAGTTGCCGTTGCTCTGCTGCTTTCCGCTCGTCTCCCGGAATCCGTCCTCGGCTGTTGTTGGTGTCGGATGGGGGCGATGTTTGCCCTCCTGGTCTGTTGACTGCCGGTGTTTTGGTTTGTTCAGTTTTCCTTCTGTTTCCTCCGTTCGTTCTTCGTCGCTGCTCGGTGCTTGGAAGACCGGTCGGCGGTTTCTTGAGGAGTTCTGACTAGCGGCCTTTCCCAACAATCGCGATCACCCGGACGGTGACAAATCGTACTGTGGGCGTCCTACTAATGCCCCGGGGCACGCCTGCCGCTGTGGGGCAGTTTCGGATGATGGTACTGGGCCGCATAGTTTACTAACCGCTGGGTCCCCGTCTAACCTTCCCGGTCTTCTGAGCATCGAGCCTTCGGTCCGTGTTGTCGGTAGTTGGAGGGCGATGTTGGCCCTCTCTGGTCGCTGGTGTTGACCCGCCGGTGTTCGGTTTTATACAGTTTGCCTTCTGTGCCTCCCCCGTTGGCCGGAACCGGAATTCCGTTTCCAGTCGGCACCGCGTGGAGGTGGGGGTAGGACTCTGCCGACCAAATTTGTTATACCTAGTCAGTAGATACCTAACCTATCAGGATTTTTATTTCCCGAGGCAAAAGATATCACACTTTTCAAATCAACTCAAGTTGTGGGTACAGTAAGCTTAAGTTGTGCCCCTAAATGTATTTTATAATACCCATTTGACTGGGTGTCATGTAGTTCGCCCCACTGAATGTGATCTCGCCACTGGTCATAATAATACTTATCTAATATAAAGACCAGAAGTTAAAAGTAATAAATTTGATATCATTCGAACCCAAGATATATGTATACAATAGAGATAACTGATATTCATTGTACCTACTCGCTACAATTAACTTATTGTCATGATGTCATATTTTAAGTAATCGGACCATTAGTGTCACTCGTGGTGGCATACCTACTCACGTCGTATACCCCCCGTAAAACCCTCGACCACCCTCCATACCTATGGAGTACGCCGTAACGGCCTACGGATAAGAAGACAGAACAATACGGGTACTACGATATGGTTTATTAGGCTGATTTGCGATTATGTGAAATCGTGGGTAAAACTAATTTTGATCAGCTGTTATTTGTTTCGTTCGCTGTGGACGATTAAAGTCTGGTTCCATGGTTACATGATATGGAAGTAAGCCTTATACCTGGTTAACGTTAATCACATCCCAACAATACGTTGAGTGAATAAACGGTTATAATTTAGGTTATAATTTTATAAGATAACTGATAAGTCATAACAACAATATTTGAATCGTGAGTCGGTAATAAGTAGGTATTACCTAATATTTAATAAAGTTTTTTATTTGTTAATACTTAACAATTTTAAGTGTTTAAATTTTAATGGTGAATTTATAATATTATTAGTTCTTGTATATGTATACTTAAATTATAATATTTACCACTTTTTGTATTTTATTTAGTAATTTAATCAAACATTTAAGTACCTAAATTGGTTAATCGCACGTGAATTGGATAATTTGCAATTCAATTTATACAATGATCCTATTGGTAAGTTTTACTAGTTGGTAGTTTCAAAAATTAAAATTAATAAAACAATATATCTCATTAACTTAAAACATTTTGATTTCAGTTCAATCATTTATACATATACAATTTTTGTTCAAATGTCTACCTAACCAATGAAACACTGGTACTTAGTAAATACAAAATGGAATATTCCTATAGTAATTATAGTTACAACCATCTGAGAGTTTTTTTTGTATTTTACTTGCACATTTAAATGTGGCATATTGATAGTCTATTAAGACCAATGATTTGAAGCATAAACTGGGTCTTTAAAATGTTGTCTGATAGTAGATTTCACAATGAAATATGTAAATCAGGAAAATCAATATTATACATATTCAATTTAAATATTTCAACTGACTACAAAATAAATTAAGTGAGTATTAATATCTTTAACTGTAATATTATTAAATTATTATATTGACATACAAATATTTTAAATAATCAGGATTATTGGGAAGAAGTAGAAAAAATCTAGTTGGACTACAACTACACATTACCAATGATATGTATTGAAAAGATGATGTTGATGTAATTGCAGAAAGTGAAAAAGACATAACTAACATGTTCGAAGAAATGAACGACATGCTTAAAGAACACTTAAAATTCACATACCTATTCAATCACAAGCGATGAGAAAAGTCATACAGATACAGTATGTAGAATAGTGCATGCCAAACAGGCCTACTATAAAAAAATTAATCTTTTTACCTCAAATAGAATAAGTTTGGACAGCAGAAAATCACTTATAAAAGGCTTTGTGTGGAATGTAGATCTATATGGAGCAGAGATTGGGACACTACTGAAGACTGAGAAAGCCAAAATAAAAGCTTTTAAAGTATGATGTTGGAAAACGCTGAAAATTCAATAGACAGAAAAAATAAAAAAATGTTGAGGTATTCAGGAGAATCAAAAATCAATACAGAGTACGCTAAGATTGAGAAGAAAAGCATGGATCGGACACGTAATAAGGAGGAAACCTGGAAAAGGAAGGCCTAGAACTCCATTTCTGAAGCAAGTGATTGAAGGTACCAGAATAGGAACATATTGGAAGTTGAAGAGGAATATAAGTGGAGAGGGACATCAATAATCATTTAACCGATTTTGGGAATGAAAAAAAAAAAAAAATGTATTGAAAACTAAAAATTGTGCTAATGTTAAAGCTTTATAATTTGTATGCTAGTTTATAAATAATTTAAATTAGGTGACAACATCAATTATTACAACTTAAAAGATAATATACATAGATATAGATATTTATTTTGTGTTTAATATGTAGATTATGTCCTAAATCAAATTAAGAATTTTTAGCTGGCTGTGTGATTAATAATAATTTTATTTTTATTTTTTATTTTAACATTTTTTTTTTTTTTTATGGACAAGCCCTTTAACAAAAAAGATATAATAATCTAAACATCCAAAAACATTAGTCTACTGTGCTACATTGTATAATGTCATAATGATAAATACTAAATTATTTCTGTCAATGATGTTGTCACCAAATAATAATTAGTACTAAATTCAAGTTAGAATATTATTAAAACCATTTTTAAATTTTGCTTTTTAAGTCTGGGGTGATTGAAAAGTTTGTTTTAATTTTTTGAATACATGTTTTATCTTTACTCATATTTTGCATATTAACTGCAAAACGAACATTTAGATTAAACTGTATCATCATTTTGAAATAGGTTTTTCATAGTCCTAGGTTTATTAAAGTAAAGTTGTTTAATGGTTCATAATAATAACAGTATAATATGTGAGGAATTTTGCCGTGAACAGGGTTCAGGGCTAAACAGAACCTAAAATCATCAAATCAAACGCTTAAAAAAACATTTAAATAATCAAAATTAAGCAATCTAAAAAATGGTTATTCTCTCCCTAGTTTTTGTTAGTGGTTATCACTTGCATCATATTAAAGTAGAAAATATACATTAAAAAATTTAAAACGTGGGGTGCTATAATATTTCATATTTTAAAATATTAAATTGAGGGTATTTTACTATAATAATGATACTTAAATCTAAAAAAACAAGAGGTGCTAAAGACCCGTTTGCACCCTCTAGTTGCTCCAATGGTCACAAACCCTGTTCACGACATTGAAAATATTTATTTTTTTTTTTACATAAAATATAATTATATAAGTTGATCAGTGCCCTATGTGTATATTTGGATGTATGTCATTGTTATTTAAATACCTACATTTTGATTAAATTCATGTGAGTGGTCAAAAAGACCTAGTCCTACAAAGTATATTACAACTATTGAAGCGATGTATGGTGAATTATTTATATTAAACTAATATTTGATTTGAAATTGTAAATGTATTAAATTTAAATTGCAAACATCAAAAAAAGAGTTGTTTATACTTAATATTAAATTAGTTCAGAGTATTGTATTTCCAGATTTGTAATAAACATGCTCAAATGATATTGTATATGAGAAGAGGTACAATATTTGATTTGTTAAAAAAAAAAAATATCACTAAAAAACTTAAATCCTAATAGGCATTTACATGTTCAAAGTATCCAAAAGGTAAACACCATAAAATAGATATATTAAATCTATAATAATAATTAACACATTATTTTGTATTAGTTAAATCTACCAAAGCTATACACAGTTATATGTATATTATATGTATAAAAAAAAAATATGAGTTACCTAATTAAGTTAATTTATTGTTAATATTATGCCATTATGGTCCATTATTAAATATGGTTATTATATCATAAATAATATATTATATTGTATATTTATTATTAATTGTTATTGCACTCGCCACTCATTTATCATTGAAAATACAGTTTTTTAATAATTTTATTATCAGTAATCTATTTGATTATTTTAGTTATAGTCATAGATAATAAATATTATATTATAATATCTATGGTTATAGTACCTACATGATTTTTTCCATGATTATATTAATTTATAATATCTGTTCTGTATGCATAATTGGTTATTACCAATGACCATAGAATAAAGGTTATTACTTTTGATAATAACATAGAATACCAAAATAACTAAAATTAATTTTGCCAATAGTGTGTAGGATGGTAGGATTAATAAGTTCGAAGTCGTATTCAGTGCTTACTGTTTAGATTTTTGTTTTTATTTTTAATTTAAAAATCTTAGAATTTTGAAAATGCATTGCTTAATTCATCTAAATCACTTTCCAATACTGTAGGCCAACAAGATGGCAACTCATATGTTGTTGGTTGTGTTTGGCGTTTTCTGTCTAAGGTGCAACATCGAACCTGTTATAGAAAATTATTCATTATTGTCTGTTGTACATTGAATATTTGAATCATGGACCACCAAAATATTACCATGTTTTCTCTCGTCCAATAAGCAAAACGCGACTTGGCTCGTTGAATCAATGCTTGATCATTAGCTGATGTTGGTCTCACTTTTTTGACTAAAAGTCCAAAGTCCGAGTGCACTGGACACCACCATTCTGTGCACTAAATTAAATGTTATGTAAGTATACATTTTAATAAAATCAATTCTGAATTTTGAACTTTTTGTTATTAAACAGAAAATGTGTAATTGACAGTTGTAGTTATTATTATTTAAATTATGTACCTGCCTTTTCTGTAGATCGGTGCGTTCCTTATCAAACGATTTAACCGGAAAAGAAGGAGCTGCTTTAGAAATGAGATTGGGTGAAGAGGAAAAATCTTCTGAAGATTGAAGACCTGGTGTGACTGCATTACGATGTTTTTCAATCGCAATCGGCGATATTTGTTGTTGGCTTTCGTTCGAGGTTACAGCAGTTGGATTTAAGCCTTTGACAATAGTATTTTCCAGTTTAGCCAATTTGGTGTCCAATAATTGCTCAATTTGGTTTATTGTCACAATTTTTAAGCTTTTCTCTTCCTGTGTGCAGCATTATTTATTATATTATCATAGATTTCGTGTTAAATAAATTGATCTTACCAATTTCGTTATTGTGACCTTCAAACAATAATTTTCAGACACTTTATTTTCAATTGAGTTACTTAACTTTTTAATGTTCGTTTTCAACTGTCCCTATAGTAAATATAATTATTTACTAATATTATGTTATATTGTACATTTATAATGAAAATCAGCACATGTGCGTGACCCTAATTGAACTTCCTAAAAATTGTTCTTTACCTATATGAATAATTAACTTAAAATGATTTACTATTTGTAACTCTGCGGATCCTGCTTCTTCTATATATTTGTCAATTTCATCCTCAAGTCTTTGATTTTCTTCCACCAAACTTTTGTTTTTGGACTCCAAAGTATGTAATTTCTGATAAAATATTTTTAAAAATAATGACACTATTCTTTTTTCATGTTATATTCTTTAAAAATCCTTAGTATAAGACTTACTAATTTAATTTGAGCTACAATTTAAACTATAGAACTTACTTGCATTGATGATTCCATTAAAACAATAATTGATAAATAGCCTTCCTTGTAAAACTGTGCCTCTGTCACATTCTTAGACACCATTGTATCCAGTTTTAAAAATTGTTCGTAAGAACTTGGAAAGTTATCCATATTAAATTTTAATACTTAAAAATACTTAAATACTTAAATACTTTTAAAATATTTATTTAGTACTCTGAGATTCTAATTCTACTTAGAACACACAGAATGTGAAACACCAATAGTATATGAATAAGGTAATACTAAGATAAACTTTATCTCAATCATGTGAAAAATGTCAACTATCAATCTTTATATCAATGAGGAAAAACCAATACTTTATGGTTACATTTTTATATTTAAAATGTGTTGTATAAAATTGTATATGAACATGATACATTCTATTTGTCTACATATAAATTTGTTAATAAATATCAGTTATTATATTTAAAAGTTGTTGATTTATTACATTTAAAAGTTTCTTATTGTTTATTACATTTAAAAGTTGTTTTTAAATTATGTTTTATTCAAACAAGGAAAAAAGTGATATGCTCAGTTGCTATATTGAAATGGCAAAAAATACCAGAGCTGCAGCAAGGTTTGAAATTATTTATTAAATTAAACAAATATCCAGGGTTCAGATGTTCAACACTATTACTTAAAATCATTATTTATACTAATTTTAATCATTGTTGCTAATTTATAAAATAACATTTTTAAGTCTTATTAAATTATAATTAAAATTTTAAAATGTGAGTTTCTTTGGTAACTAAAACAATTTGTTGTATCAACCCTGCATATTTCTGTATCTTAGTGAAGTTATGTGATGTAATAAAACATAAAATATACATACATCTATTTTTTTTTAAATGGACAGCAAAAAAACACAAATATATAAGTGATTGTACATACATAATTACATATATTATACATGTAGTGTTATATTAATTATAGATTATATAAAACCCGATATCCTGATCGTCCTTGTCCAGAACATACAAGATTTTATGTTTTGTACAAAAATATGCGAGAATACGGAAGTTTTATAAAACCAAAATGTAGAGTTTCGACAGCCATTAATGTCGATAATTCATTTTCGGTGTTGGCCAAATTGATTGAAAATCCTCATATATCTTTGAGAACTGTAGCAGGTATTTGGTTTTCCTATTAAATAAACATTACAAATTACAAAATAAGTACCTATTCTACTTTTTAAATTTTAGAAGAATTAAACATGACATATTCTTCAGTTCAAAGAATTGCCAAAAAAACATAAATACCATGCATACCTGGCTAATCCTGTTCAGCAGCTTCTAGCAAGTGATTATGAAAGGCGACTCAATTTTATTGCACATTGCATGGTAAAATTAGAAGAGGATCCTCAATTTTTAACAAATATCCTTTGGACTGATGAGGCGAAATTCCACAATAATGGACATGTAAATCACCACAACAATCACTATTGGAATCATTCAAATCCCCACTGGATAAATGAGACCAATAAGCAAGTTCGTTGGAGTGTGAATGTTTGGTGTGGGATTATTGATGAGCATTTAATTGGTCCATATTTTTTTGAGGAAAATCTTAATGGCAATAAGTATCTTGGTTTTTTGAAAGATGATATACCCATACTATTGGAAAATATTTCACTTCAGCAGCGTTTGAATTTGATTTGGCAGCAAGATGGTGCACCAGCACATAATACCTTGGCTGTACGTGCATACCTCAATAAGATGTATGGAGACAATAACTGGTTTGGAACTCACAGCCCCATTATTCAATGGCCACCTCGTTCCCCCGATTTGAGTGTTCTTGACTTCTTTTTTTGGGGCCATCTAAAAAATGAAGTGTATAAAGAAAAATGCAATAGTGTGGAGGAACTTAAACAAAGAATAAGATATTGTTGCAACAAAATTGAAAACTCAATATTGAAAAAATCCACTTCCTCTGAAGTATTAAAACGTCTACATTTTTGTTTAACTGAAGATGGCAAGCAATTTGAACATAAGCTTAAATATAAACAACATGTATTTTTTATTCAAATTGTATACAAATACATATATTTATGTATTATAATTAATGTGTTATGTGTATGTATGTTACATTTTTTCCATTCTTAACCAAAGTTTGTTAAAATTTGTATTTAATATGAATTCTTATACTTACGAACGAATGAATTTCTGGTAGGCACATGTACATCAAGTTAATAAATTGGTCTTGGAATTTTTCTGAAAATAACAAAATAAGTAAGTTGGTAAATTAAACATATTGAAATATCTAACTAGAGCTCCCAGTTAACTAGATCCGCTAGTTCGTTAAAACTACAAAGGCACAGAATATTATTTATTATGATAATATTATTGTGAAAATGTGAAATTTATTAAGTTTACTACTGTAGCACACCAGTAGGCAGTAATTACTAATTAGTACTTACTACTTAGTACTTAGTAGTATCGGTCGTTGACGGCTTGAGTGCTTGACGCCACGGCACCATGCTATAAATTATAATAGTCAGTAACGAATAACAGACAACAGACAATACATTACTGTACCTGTGATTTAAAACAGTTAACAGTTGTCGCAACTGTAGTACAGGCAGTCTACTAGAGTAACAAGAACGGGATTTTATTTGTGACATAAATAAACAGCAAGTTACTGTTATTATTTATTTTGTAAATACACATGTTGGTAACACTGTATTTTCTGTATGATATACAGTTATAATGATAAACCATGGACAACATTAACTTTTATGGACTAAAATAATTCTGTATTTCCGTATGTTAGTCTATGGTGTGTCGTAGCATAGAATAGAGATTAAATTGTATTGTGATCGAAGCTACAAACAGAAGCAGACCAATAATAATATGATCGTTTGTTATTGTATGTAGGTATTATCGGCTGTCAGGTACAAAGATTATCACCGCTATATTATCTTGGGTCGAACGATATCGAATTTATTACTTGTAACTTCTGGTCTTTATAATTGATAATAATTATTACGACCACTGACCAGTGCCGCAATCACCTTCGTTTGGTGAACTTCATGACTCCCTGAAAGATGGGCATAATAAAATACATTTAGGGGCTCTAAGTACTTTATGGACTGATTTGAAAAGTGTGATATATTTTGCCCTGGGACATAAAAATCCTGATAGCTGCGGTATCTACTGACGAGGTATAACACATTTACACACTATAACTATCTCCAAAAACCACCTAACTTTGAGGAGCAATATCTCATCAACGGATTAACGAAAAATGAAAATTTGAACGTAATAATTATTTTATTTTTATTTTATTTTATTTTATTTTAAACGCCATACAGCTTTTACAATATATTACTTATTAATGAATATACATTATAACATATTTTTATGTATATACATATCTAAACATAACACATTGAATATCAATAAATTAAAATTATACAGTAGTACATAGTAGGCTCCTGAAAATTAAATTTAACGAAACAAAAACCTAAATTAGAAAAAATGTTTAACTAGTTTGACTATTAACTAAAGACATAGCTCTCCTTAAAGGATCATCATCCAAATAATTTTTTGACACTGAAGCAAGGTAGTAGGGGTCACGAGAACGGGTTGTACCTGGAATGCGAAAACCTATTCTAGATAACAAGTCAGGTGAGTCAATTACACCAGAGACTAAACCATTTAAAAGTTTAATATCACTAATATTTCTTCTTTCGCTTAGGGTGGATAAATTGAGTGCTATTAAGACGGGTTTATAGTCATGGGGTTCATGATTAATGCCCATAGATCGAGAAACCATGCTAAAGAAACGATGCTGAACACGTTCAATTCGAATAATATCACATTTGGTCCTCGGAGACCATACCACAGATCCATACTCTACAATTGATCTAACTAGAGTAGCATATAATATTAACAAACATTTTACAGACATGACCGACCCTGCATGTCGCCTAATAAACCCTAATGATCGCAATGCTTTGAATACTATCCAGTCAATATGAGGTGCAAACGATAACGTTGGAGTAAAAATAAAACCTAAATCTTCAACTTGGTTTATTCGCTGTAACATCACGTTATCAATAGAGTAATCATATTGAATAATTGAGTGACGTCTCGAAAAAGACATAACTTTACATTTATGGATAGCCAGCTCTAACCCAACTGTATTACACCAATGGACTAACTTATTCAACGATTCTTGTAACAAAATAGCATCACTCTCAGATTGAACGCAATTAAATAATTTTACATCATCCGCAAATAATAGCATTTTGCTGTCAACAGATTCGCATAAAGTATTTATTAGAATATTAAATAAAAGTGGAGACAAGTGCCCACCTTGTGGGACTCCGGAAGTGACTAAATATTCCGCGGATTTTTGATTAAATAAGGATACAAATTGTCGTCGACCGGTTATATAGGATTTGAACCAGGAAAGCAGAGGTTCACCTACACCCAATCTATCCAGAATATCAATTAACACAATATGGTTTATGGAGTCGAAAGCTTTAGAAATATCAGTGAATATCACATCAACTTGATTCCTATCTTTGAAGCTATCCCTGATAAACGCAGAGAATTCTAAGGCACTAGTTGTTGTGGAACGACCGCCATAAAACCCATGTTGATTTGTTGATAAAACTAGTTTAAATCTACGTTCAATACATTTATTAACAATCTTTTCGAATAATTTACCAATTAGAGGTAAACCAGAAATTGGACGATAATTAGATACTGACCCTGGGTCTCCTGATTTATAAATAGGTGTTACCTGGCTCGTTTTCCATATTGATGGAAATATACCTTCGGCTAATGAGAGGTTAAATAAATACAATAGAGGATATTTTAACTGTGCCCTAATACTAAATAAAAATTGAGCTGATATACCATCAGGCCCACGACTCTTAGTTGTCCTCAGGGATAATAAATTTTCTTCTACCTCATCAAGTTCAATAGTAAGTCTAGAAGGCAGAAATGTAAATGGCTTAGTGCCAATATTTTCAGCATTCCAATGTGGGAGGGTAACGGTGATTTATAAACGGAATTGAAAAGAAGTGCAAATAGATTTGCAATATCTACGTCTGATGCAATAATATCACCATAATGCATCACATTTGGGATACCTGATGTATTTCGGCGATTATTGATAAACGACCAAAATTTATGTGGGTCATTCTGGAGAGAAGTATTTATCCTACTTAGATAGGACTCATATGCCAACCTTGACTCGAGTTTGACTTGAGCACGTAAAAACGAATATCTATGACGATAGTGCATTGTGCCAAACTGTTTCAGTTTTTTGTGTGCAATTTTTTTATCAATGATTAAATTTTTCAATTTAAGTGTTACCCATTTGGGGAAAGTTGAGCGACGAAATTTATGAACTGGTACATATTGCTCAATTAACGTTATTAAAATTTTTTGTAGACGACTAGCTGCAGCTTCAATTCCAAGATTATTAAACTCACTTTCCCAATTAATGGAAAAGAAAAGAAAAGAATATTAGTAATCGAGTTATAATCGGCATAATTAAAATTACGGAATGAGTGTTGATCATCCAATTAAGGTGGCACATCGGGCATGGAATATGTAATGTTTAATGGTGGATGATACTTATCTGGCATAACTAATGAGTCTGGTGATGTGTCAACAACTATGTCTATTTCAGATGTGAAAACAAGGTCAAGGAGTGAACCAGCCTGGTTTCTAATGGAATAATTTTGAGAAAAATCTAAGAAACGATATACATCACCTATTGCCTTACCATTATCATTAACGGTACCCGATAATGACAATCCCGAAACATTATTATGCCAATTAACATTTGGTAAATTGAAGTCACCACATATAATTCCCATATTACACCCAGAAGACTGCCACAATTCATCAACAGTTTCAGCATGTGCCGTGTATAACTCGATTGGGGCTGACGGTGGTATATATACTCCTCCTATTAGTAATAAATGTTTCTTAGATATAGATAATTTAATAAATAGCTGTTCAACTGACTGTACAGCACAACATAATATAGAGGGACATAATGTCTGTCTCACCGCTATCAAGACCCCACCACCTCTAGTGCATGTACTGGTATATGCATTTCTATCAGCTCTGAATATTGTAAATCCAGTAAAACCTAATTCTGCATTCACAATATCTGAGGAGAGCCAAGTCTCAGTTAGTATAAATATGTCATAATTAAGTATAGGAAAATTAGATATTACATCATGTAACTTAGTCCGGAGCCCACGAACATTCTGATACATAATTTTAAGATTAAACTTAGAACTAAGACTAATATTAGGTAAGTTACATTGCAAATTATAAGATAAATTATTTTTATTATTATTTGAATAAATATGCGACTTAATATTATTAACAGGAACATTGGAATTAGTATGTATTTTAATAAAATCAGTAAATTCCATTAAAAAATTATCAAACAAAAGGTTAGCATTAGTACATTTATTACAAGTTGAATTAAAAGAAACATGCAAATTAGAATTAAGTATTTCATTAAGGTATGATTGATTATTCACTGGCCTCAATCCCGACCAGTGACTCCGTTTTTTGAGTGTGACTTTGTAACCGTAGGGACACCTCTAACATAAGATATTACTAAATTTGATTCGCCTGATTTATTTCTATTCTCGAGTTCTATATGAGCAGTACGGAGTAGCTCCCGTTCCAACGAAGTCTTGTCTCGGATTATTCGAAGACCATCACGAATACTACTTCCGCTTCTAACTGCCTGCCTGAATTCGGATATGAGTTGAGCTGCATTTTCTTTTGACTTACAAATTATTTTTATCGGTCTAGGTTTCTTGGCCTTATTATTACCAAGGCGAACTAATTTGAAATCAATAGGTAAATCAATTTGAATGGGTGACAAAGCACTAGATAGCTTAGCGCAATCATCGGAGATTCTTTGATTAATTGAAGGTGAATCCGACTCAGGAAGACCATATATAATTACGTTATATTCAGAAGAATTTCTCTCAGAAATTTCACGAAGTAGCTTTGACGACACTTCAGAATCCGAAGTGACGGCCGGTTTTGATTCCAACTGAGCCACTCGAGCAGAAAGTGCAGACGATTCCTGGCGAAGTGCCATGTTCTCGTTTTTAAGCTCAGAAATTTCATTTTTTAAAGAGGTCAAACATCCATGAAGTTCTTGAAATTGTACTGATTGAGAATTTTGTATTTCAAGAATAGCTTTCATTAAGTCATCATTAGAGTAAGTATTATTGGTCCTCTTAGACATCGAAGTAGATGTACTACCATTTGAGGCACTACGAAGAACAGGACCACTTCCTAATGGGCTATTTTTAGAAGAAATATTGGATTTAGTTATCGGGTTCATGACAAGGCAAGATAGGTAAATTGTTGGACAATTAAACTAAAAATACTGCCTAGAATGACTTGAATAGGCAAAACAATTTGCAGCAAACATGCGACCGAGAATAATGATAATATGTAACGGTTCCAAATTGAAGATAACGCCGTTCCGTATTATTACGGGTATTAAATTAATGACACGGAGTGTTCGATCTGACCTTGACAGTGGCGTATTTACGGGGGGGGATCATTGGGTTTGATCCCCCCCCCAAGGCTTGAGTTGAGTTTTTTTTTTTTTTTTTTTAAATCTAAATTAGACGATAGTCCGGGAGCCGTCGAAAGAGTGAGGACTGAGGAGAGCGCGCGAGCAGCTGCTGGCTTATTTTGTAGTATTTCTGGACATTCTACTGGTAAAGAAAAATTTATCCTTGACAAAAAAAAGGAGTAGAGAATAATATACAATCTTTATGTGCAACTATTCCTAAATTGTTATATAATGGATCATTAGAAATTAAATCTGCCAAGTTTGTTGATGTGCAATGCCTAGCATCAAAGTATGTTCCACCTGAATACATTTGGTTCTATAGATCTTTAGTTGAAGAAACCAGTTCTAATCAAGATAACAATGGTACTATATCCAATGATAAAGATGACTAGGTATTAAAAATTGTTACTCAGTTTTAATATTAATATTAAAGAAAATATATTTTAGAATATTAAGAAATCAAAATGATTATTAGTTTTGTTTTATTAATTTTATTGTTTTGAAGTATAATTTTGTTTAAGATTTCAAATTTGAATTATTATGAGTGATATTATTTATTATTTTTATTATAAAATTTAAGAATCGAGGAGATTATTAGTTTTGTTTTATTAATTTTATTGTTTTGAAGTATAATTTTGTTTAAGATTTCAAATTTGAATTATTATGAGTGATATTATTTATTATTTTTATTATAAAATTTAAGAATCAAGGAGATCATTAGTTTTGTTTCAAATATTTTACTGTTTAACTATGATTGATAAAAAATCAAGTTAATTAATAGTTTTGTTATAAATATTTCATTGGTTTTTATTATTTTATTTGTTGTAAGATATTATATGTAATGACTGATAAAATCAAGCTGATAAATAAAATATCCATGTTACTAATATTTTTATTTTACTATCTTTTACCATGTTCATATCATTTATAATGTAGTTAAATGTGTTTACATTCTACTATGACTAATATTATTACCTATCGCTATCTTTAAGGTATGATAGCCAGTTTTTATGTAAAATTAAATGAATAACAATTTAATTTTTCAGTTAACATAATACTAAGTGGTTAAAGTAGAAATATTACTGAAGAATAAACAAAATTCATAAAGTAATATATTTAAACTATATATAGCTAAATATTATTAGTGAAAAAACTTATGACTTCTATACACTTACTAAGCTTATTTTAATAAATTTATTTGTATATTTATCAGAGTTAAAACTAAAAACAATAAATCATTTTTGGAGTTATCTTGTTTATTGTCCAGAAATTATAACTATTTTTTTGTTTATTTTTAAAATCATGTACAGGTTTAGTTTTTTTTTCTTAAAACTCAAGTATGCTGTTTGATAGTATAATTACATGATAATTATTAACTCAGTTAAATAAAAAAACTAATTCTTAGTAAGATTTTTACATAATAAAAAAAATAAAAAAAAAAGATTTAATAACTCCGAGCAATAAACAAGACAACTCCAAGAAAAATTTCTTATTTGTGGCTAAAAGTGTAAAAAATATTCATGTATCAACTTAATTAAGGGTACCACAGTTTTTATCACTATTTTAAGTATATAAAATAATTTTTCTTTTTATTATTCTTCACTTAAATATATATTAAACATTAAATATGTGCTTCCTGAAAAAAATGATAAAACGGAGCTGTCTGGTTATTGCACAGAGCCCTTCAATTGTCCAAAACATCTAGAAAACTAGACTTTGTTTTGTAAAATAAAAATAAAAAAAAATTGTAGTAAAATTGTAGTTTTATATTTAAGTATTTAAAGTTAGGGGGGTGAGGTGTGGGGCTCGAGTTGATAAGTACTGGATAAAATCATATCCCCCCCCATGACAAAATCCTAAATACGCCACTGGACCTTGACACGTGCCGGATAACTATTATCGCGTTTGTGCGCTGTGCAGACAGAAATATAACGATAAGATATAATATAGTATTATTACCTTAATAAGTCAGTTGAGATGTAGAAAATTGTCCTTAACGGAAAATACTTTAAGTGATCAGACTCAACAACGACACCTGATCACACACGCACTTTTCTTACATACGTAGGATTTTTAAATTCTAAAAAAACGGTCAACTTTTTCCAACTAAAAACGTGAAAGAACACGGAGCGAATGTTACATATGAGGCGTTACGTGGCAAAGTCAGCAATCTCCACTTTTTTTGAAATAAATGTTTTGATCATATTCATATAATACTTTTTACTCTGCGTCGATTGGTGAAGCTGATTTTTATCACATATAATCGCCCATCGAGATAAAACGTTTTAATACTAACTGATCGCAGCAAAGAGAGCAATCTCCAATCATAATACCATATAATACATGTTCTACGTTTCTGTGGCAAATGAGGCAATCTCCATGCGTTTCTGTGACAAAAGCGGCAATCTCCGTGGGTTCTTCTTGGGTTCCGCGGCAAATTTGACAAAGTCCGTTTTCCCTCCTTTATTATTTAATGTTATTGACATTTAACAAATTATATGAATACAGGGAATAACACCAAACTCCACTATCAACCAACGTAAATAAAATATCATGGAAAAATACAAGAAATAAAGGTAAAACAGTTTTTTGACATTTACCAAAAATCACTGCGTTTGGAGATTGCTGACTTTGCCACATGACGCCTCATATATACACGTTGAAGTATTATCGTCTGCTTCCCACTGGCCTTCTTCAACAAGCATGTCAACTTTTGATCGTAAATTTATCAGCTTCTTTTCTCTATCACTAATTTCGCTGCCTTGGAAAATTTCTTTGACCTCAGTTACTGAAATTTTAGGCGAGTGTCTATCTAGTATAGTACAATTTCCGTACTTCGGGGGTTTTAATACAGAATATAGTGATAAAATTCGATAGAGATGAAGATAAGTTGGACCAGTAGGATGATCATTTGGACCGGCTGCCTGGCGAATCATACCAAAAAATTTCTGAAAAAATAAATTACAGTACTTAGTAGGTACAAAAAATACAAACATAGTTGAAATAAACTATTGCATATTGTTATTGATACTTGCAACAACTAAAAACATTATTTATACATACCACAATTTTATTAGCACCAGTACCTGACTCCCAAGTTCTGATAATTTGGCCTGCCGTGAAATGCTTTTCACAAATAAAAGTTTTAGGACTGACTTTAAGGTTGATATAGCTTTTATCCATTTAGATTTTAGTTCCTCATCTTTTGGAAATAAAAAACAGGAAACTTTTTCCGGATTCGACCTGTACCCGGATTTACAATATACCACACAACACATAGACGGCATGACGACAATAAATAAAAAACATAAAAACAATGAAATCACACGGCACACAATGATAAATAGAACACGCAAAATTGATAGATTTTATAAAATAATGCATTATGCGGACAGTAACTCATTACTCATAGAATTATCAGATAGCCCGTTTAACTAGCAGCGCCGACCTAGTGGATATTATTGCAACTACGTGAACTGTACCGAGTTGTGACCGGGCATTCGTGTACAAATCATATCACCGACGATTAATCTGTTCTTTATAATCGTGTTTCAAACTAAATGTCTTATCAATCATGATAAAATGTTACTTATGATGTCTTACAACCAATATCATGTGTTTTGACCTCCATACGTAAATTATCATACTTGTTTATGGAGGTTTGTAATAAAGTGTCCATTTTCGTTCTATTAATAACTCAACTGATAACGACTGCATAACACTGTAAAATGATGATAGCAGAATGCGACGAAGTCGCATTCTGCTATTTTGTTGTGTACCTCGTCATTATTTAGTTTAAGTGATTTTCTCAATATTTAAGTGGTTTAGTGAAAGAATTAGTACTTAAGTCATATTTTCGGGTGACTTCGAACATGGCAAGAACATACAAGAAAAAGGTAGGTGACCGTAACTATCAACATTATAATAGCGCAATGCTAAAAAAAGCTGTAGATGCTGTCCGTAAGAAATTACTAACTATTTCTAGAGCTTCCGAGAAGTTTGGTGTACCAAAAAGTACAATTTGTAACCACGTAAAAGCGCTTAGTGATAATAAAAAAATTAACAATCCGGGTGGGCAGACTGCGTTGAGTCATGACGAAGAAAAAAATCTTGTGCTTGGATTAATTAAATGTGGTGAATGGGGATTTCCATTGAAATGCAGAGATATTCAGTTGGCAGTTAAGTCATATTTGGACAGATTAGGAAAAAAAACTAGATTCAAAAATAACTGACCCGGTAAAGATTGGGTAGATTAATTTCTTAATCGAAATAATGAACTTACATTGCGAATAGGAGAAAATATTAAACGTGTTCGAGCGGCAGTGAGCAAATCAGTATTGAACGAATATTTTTATAATATCTCAAACACTTTATCTGATATACTTCAGAGTCATATTTTTAATTACGACGAGACTAACTTTGTTGATGATCCGGCTAAAAGTCTTGTAGTTGTTCGAAGAGGGAATAAGCACCCCGAAGTTGTCAAAGATACATCTAAAACAATCGTGTCCGTTATGTTTTGTGTATTGGCTGACGGGAATATTTTGCCCCCGTATACCGTGTATAAGGCCAAACACATTTATCCTACATGGATAGAAGGATTCATTCAACTAGCCGGTTATAATCGTAATGACAGCGGATGGTTCGATATGCCTATTTTTGAAGATTGGTTTTTATCGTTTTTTCTCCCGTCATGTAGGCTTTTTAACAGGACTTAAAGTTATTGGGGATAATCTGGCAAGCCATATTTCTTTAGAAGTTATTAAACATTGTGAAATGAACAATATTCGATTTGTTTTATTGCCACCCAATTCGACGCATTTATGCCAGCCCTTGGATGTTGCTGTTTTTAGACTAATGAAAAGGAGCTGTAGAAAGACTTTAGATGATTGGAAAAACTCAAATTCTGGTCCCATTCCAAAATGTGAATTTCCTTAACTATTAAAAAAATTTATAGGTATTATATATTGTATTATAATATTATTATATTATATTATATAGGTTATAATAATATATAAAATTTTATGTTTTTTTCACAAAATCAAATATTGTGTTTAGAATTATTAGAGGGTACCTAATAATATTTTCTAAACAATATTTCATTAGGGGTGTTTTTCATGACGTTTGGATTATAATTTTTTTTTAATATGCGTCTAAAATTATAACTTTAACAAAATGCATTGAAATTGAGAAAATTTAAACATTATTGTCTGTCTCCCAAAGAAATATTAAATATTAAATATTATAATACATTGTCTGTAAGTACCTACATGATAGAATGTTAAAAATATTTCGACTCTTTTTGACCTATTTATAGACATTTGAAATTTTGAAATACATTTTGTACCTACGATTATTTTCTTTTACATACAGATTTTTACAAAATTATAGTGCAAACATTTGCAAATCTTTATTTAATGTTTACAATTTTCAAATTGTATAGCTAAGGATTGGAAATTTAAAACGAAGTTTCTCATAAGTAGTTAATACTGTAACCAAAAAATCTAAAAAATATTCGATCACAGTTTTGTATTGTCTTAATTTTAACACGTACGTTAAAATATTGTATATAATATTATGTTATAATTATACATTTTATATTATTAATTTACCCTCCTCAGAAAATCACTCAAATTTTTAAAATATCAACAAAAATTATTAAAAAATAGAATTTTATATTTATCTGTGCCCAAACTTATGATTAAAAATTTAAAACTAAGTTCCACGTAATTAGTTAATTCTGTAACTAAAAAATCTAAAAAATACAAACACAGTTTTTTTTTTAGTTTTTTTAATTTAAATTTAGAGGAAATTACATACTAAACAACCATGAATAAGGATTTTAGTTGTTATGTTGTAATTTAAAAAAAAATTATTCATGGGTACTTGAAATTTGTCATTTATATTATTAGGTATTACGAGTATATACAAATAGGTAAATGCCAAATAATAATATTAATTAATATTTTAGACTATAGTTTAATCATAAATCATAATGCATTTTTAATATTTTAGATTCTGAGGGGAGAGATGAATGATCTATAAACTTTCATAAAATACTTATTATTTTAGTATTTTCTACGAAGGGCTGTAAAACACAGGAAAATAGTTCACTGGAACATAATTTTCAGGAATAATAAATACAGGGAAGATATTTTAAGGAATGATAGTAAACAGGAAAGTTATCACCAGGAAATATATTTCACAGAAAATTACAATCGGGAACTAAAAGAAATAGGAACATAATTCATAGGAATTATAAACACAGGAAAGGTGTTGTAAGGAATGATAATAACAGGAAAATTATTATCAGGAAATATATTTCACTGGGAACTAAATATTTGGAAATTGAAATCCAGGAATGATTAATACAGGAAAGGTGTTGTAATAAATAATAACACACGGAATATTATATTCAGGAAAAATAATTTTGGGGAAATTAAAACCTGTATACATGAATGATATTTTACATTAAATTTTTTATTTGTAAAATATTATTTAGTAGGAAATATCAAATAAGTAATTAATATTTCTTAAAAACTTTATACCTACCAACTTAATAAAGTAATTTATTTAAGATACAATTATGTAGATATGAGGGGTTTTGGGTGTTCAACAAATCCCCCATTGTAATTTTTTTTCAGTAAGTAAACGTATAAATATATAAAAATGAAAACAATTTAAAAATATTTTGATAAAGGTTAAACAGGTTGACACATACTTTTTTAACGTAACCCCTGAACCCCACCCCTCCCATTGAAAATATCAGTTAACCTTAGAACATAATGAAATGACAGGTATTTTTTTTGTTATCATACAAGTCCGTTAATCAAGGTGGGGAAGTATGTGTCGCATTTGTATAGAACCAAACTTATAATATAAAATAATATAGATATATAATTATGTTATTTTAGATATGAATAAAGTGATATTTGAGTATTATAATATTTAAGGGGAAGATGTAATATTGTAGACAAGATGCCAACAAAGGTCCAAGATTATCTTTTGTCATTTGAGATAAAATTAAATAATGTTAAATAACCGTAATGGTGTTATAGGCATAGCCATATAGGCTGTGTTTGTATGAAAAAAATGTGACGGTAAAAATATTCGCTGCCTCAGACATGAAACTCTGCCTATAATCCATTTTATATATTTTTTTCATTATTCTTTATGATTACAATATATTTATTTTTGACATCTAAATAATATGCATAATATAACACACAGCCTGATTTACAAATTTTGGGGCCGGGGATTTAAATGAAAAGAGGCCTCTTATAAATTAATTAATATTATCTTATTCAAAAATGTATAATTTATTTTATTTTATATAATTACATGTCACATTAGATTACATTGATTTTTTTTAAGGATCTTCGAAAACTTTTCAATGATGTCTTCATATGATAATTGTTTTGTTATTTCGTGTTCTACTGTTAACAGAGTCAGATTATCAAGCCTATCTTGAGATAAACATGATCTCAATCGAGTTTTTACACGTTTTAACGCCGAGAATGATCGTTCGCTGCTACAATTTTTACAAGGAATCGTCAAATAGATTTGTAACACAGTTTCAATATTGGGAAACGTATGCTTTATGTTCATTGATTTTAGGTATCTAAGTTGGTATTGAGGATCATCTATAGTCTTATCATGGCTAAACAATGACATTTTTAATTCTTGGAATTGTAGCATTTCATCAACAAAGGTTTCTATATCCAAGTCATCAGGAAAATGGTCCAATAAACTTGATGTATTCTTAATAATATCTGACTTTTTCATATTATTTTTGAATAAAAAACTAAACTTTTTTTCAATTTCTAAATAAGCACTATTTCCTTTTTTTAGTTCAAAAATCAATTTATCACATATAACATAATATGTATTAATAATAAAATTTTCTCTGGACATTAAGTCGGTACATGGACTGTTTGTATCATCTAGATGTTTTCTTTTAGGTACTTTCACTTTTCTACTTAGTGAATAATCTGAAGTTATGTTTAAGCTGGGTGCTTCCTCTTCATACGTTGTAAAATTTTCCCGGACACTTTGAATAAAATCAATTAATGAAGTATAAAGAGGAACTATAGCTGAGACATTTATTTTAGATGATTGTAAGTCCTTGTTAACGCTATTAATTCTTTGTAAAATTGAGTTCCATACTGTGGTGAAAACACCAGTTTATTTTTTTTTAAGCTTCGAAAGAATTGACTCATTTTGAGTTGTTGGATTTTGATTTAGATCTTGACTGATATTATCTTCCAATGCTACCAATACTTCATTATATCCAAGCCTTAATGCTTGTATGGCGTTTGCATCAGCTGACCATCGTGTTTGTGATGTTGACTCTAACGTTAAACAACATTCGTTTGATTTTAATCTTTCACACAAAATTTCCCAACTACGAGGTTAAGAAGAAAAAATACATATAATGCTTGGACAACACCAAAATAGTTTACTGTTGTAGTGCTTGATGAAACTGCATTAACTCCTACCAAATGTATTGAATGTGCAGCACATGGAACATATGTTGCTACAGGAGATAACTCTTTAATGCGGCCTTGGAGTCCAGTATATTTACCGGACCTAACAGCGTTGTCATAAGACTGACCAACACAGTTTTTTATGTAAAGTCCGACTTTATCAAACATAGCTTTTATAGTTGAAAATAAATATTCTGCTGTATGACCATGAATATTTTCAAGTTTAATAAAACGTTCAAACACTTCACCACTTTCATCAACATATCTCAACACGTATGCCATCTGATCATTATGAGTTATGTCGGGTGTGGAATCTACAATAATTCCAAAATATTTTGCAGATTTAACTTCCATTAATATGTGATTCAATACTGTATTAGCCATTAGATCAATCAGTTTTCTTACAGTATAAGATAAAATGTGATTTGTATTTCCATATGTGGTAAAATGATTTGATAAAAATGGATCAAATTCACTAATCCACTCTAATATACCTAAAAATATTCCATTATGTGGTGAATTAAGCTTTTCATCATCTCCAAAAAATGGTAGTCCTCTTTGAGAAATAAACTTAATTGCTGCGACAGTTCTTTTAGGCACATTTCTCCAATACTCAACTTCTTTTTTATGCTGCAACACAATGTCTTGATCAATTCGACTATTTTTCATTGCATGGTTGGATAAAACACACACTGATTTTCTGTGATTTATCGAACGTTCATGTCCAGTAAGACGTCGTGACACATGTCTCCAATCATAAAAACCATCTTTACATAACTGATCATCATCAGGGTAAAAAAGTTTACAAACATAGCAGTATAGTTTTTTAGACTCTTCAGAATAGACAAGCCATTCTCTTTTAAATTTATTATGATTTTTTCAGTAAAAAAAAAAATGAGAAATTCGCAATGACAACCATTTTGGGTTTTTACCATTAAAAAAACTGTCTTTAGTTTTTAATTTTATCCATATTTTGGTGAGGAGGATTCATCACAAAAAATTCTTGAAATTCATTTGAGATTTTTAATGGCCATAAAGCAACATTTTTCTTCAACTTGCTGTAATCTATTTCATCATTTCTACAACCTAATGATATTTTAATCTTTAAAATACATAGGAAACCATAGGATTTAGATAAAAAAGGTATGTATATAAAATTTTAATACCATAAAAACATATTAATAACAACAGTTAAAATATAGTTAGTCTTAATTTTAATATTTTTAACAAATGTATTTAAGTAATAATCAAATTTATGATATTGTACGAAAAGTAACTGTGATGAAAAAATTAAAAGTAAATAATTAAGATTATAATAATAAATTAAGATAATAATATTGATTTTTATGAACATGTTATGTTAAAATAAAAATAATGAACTATGTTTGCTAACAATTTTGTTTATGTTATTTTTTTTCCGAGCGTGTCATTAGTTTACTGATCAACTATTTAAGTGTATTAAAAGGTAGTTATAAGAAAACATTGTTTAGCGCTTGTAAATTAAACCTATACCAATTATTTAAATTAAAAGTATTAATGCATATTTTACTAATCTTTGGAGGACCATAGTTAATAATCTAGAGAACCAAAATTGATGATTCGACTACCAAAATTTTCAGAAAAAAAGCTTTACCAGAATCCAAAATATAGTGGTTTGAAAAGAAAAAGTTGATTTTGCTATTGGTACACCTGCGTGTTTAAAAATTTTGAAATTGTTATAAAAAAATTGCTTGTTAAAAACAATGAAACACGTCTTTTTTGGTTTTAACGAAATTCCATATCATCGTTCCATAATCGTCGAAAAACCCCTCGTACAATGACATAAGATACACCCTGTATAATATAGTATTTATTAACTATTTAATAGAATGAGGGCGAGTTGCGTACACTCAAACGCGGACTCAGAGACAGAGAAGCCCATGACAAAATAATTACGTATGTCAGCAACTCATGATACGCATGTCTGTGACGTAAGCATATCTGCAACAGGTTGAGCGGTGGAGTGGTGATGGAGTCTTCGGCTGCGTCGGCTATTGCGGCAGTGACGGCGGTGGACCAATGAGAACCGGAGAAATGCTTACCTCACAGTAAATGGCTGGGTGGAGGGTGGGGCGCGATTTGTTTCTAAATCCGTAATATTGCTGACACACCTATATAATTTGTCATGGAGAAGCCCGTCGCTCCGCAGGCCTGGATACCGGCCGAAACCGTTGTCCGCACCCACTGCACGGCGCAGCCCCCTCTCCTCCACGGGTCACGCGTACCAGCGACCGGTCGAGCAGAGCCGAGCTCGTCGCGAGCAGTATCCGTATGTTGGGTAATGACTGCGACATCCTCTTATTTTAGATAGGTACCCATAGATAATATAAGAATGGATAGGACATGCCTATACCAGTTCTATATGAGATCGTGTGCTTTTTTGGGGAAGAGAGAACGTAAAGAGAGAAAGACGATATGAGGCTTTTTAAGGTTAAGTGCAAAACTATTTTATTAAATAATAATAATAACATGATAGTCAGCTATATTTAGATATTTGTCAGTTTGTATTTTGATTGTTGTGCCACCTGTGCCTTGAAAATGGAAATGGAAAAATAATATTTTAACAAAATGAAATTATATAAATTTTATTTATTATTATTTATCAATTATCATATAAATATTTGCCTGACATAACCTTAAAAATAGTATCACTAAATTTTCATGTGATAAGTTCTTATGTCCTATCCATTCTTATAGTATCTATGTAGGTACCTAGTTCAGTGAACATTTGATGTTGAAATTTACTGTAAAATCAAAAATATTGTAGTCCAAAATTTGTTGCAATCTAATTTAAATAAACTTGTGTTATGCCGTGTTCGGAGTAAAAGAAACTATCTATCCTTAAACTATGATAAATGTAAAATTATAACTTTTTCGCGCAGTAAAAGTCCTATTTTTCATAATTATCTTATTGATAACCATTCCCTTGAATGATTCTATTACAGATTTAAGTACTTGTTTAGAATTGTATCTGTCTTCCAAAATAAATCATAAAATCATCATAAATAAGGCTTATAAAATGTTGGGTTTTATTACTAGAAATATTAAGGACTTCACAAATCCTATATGTTCAAAATATTTGTATACTTCTTTAGTTAGATCAAACCTAGAATTAGGTCTAACAGTTATTCAACTTACTCAAATGAGCCACATGGATAACAGCGGTTACCCTGTGACTACTGAAGTAGGTACCACACTGGTCACGGAGGCTTTTACTGTTAGGATGCGACGTTTCCTTATCACAGACAATTTAAAAATAGAAAATATTCCATTTGTTTTATTTGTAAGTAAACATTGTCACCATAGTTTTCGTTGCATTTCGTCAACAGACCTTTAACGTTGTAAAGTCTGCATTATTTTACATCAAAATGAATAATTACCCTCATGATATTTTACTTATAAAATTAATGGTGGACGAAAAAACGGCATTCGGTAAGTTGATTTATACTATATAATAATATAATAGTGCATTATTCTTAATTACATAGGTACCTATAATGTATTTTATAAATGGATAAAATAAAAAAATAAGCCGTCACGGGACGCCTGGCATATGTGAAACATCGACATTATTTTGTAAAAGCAATATGCAGAAAATAACAGATTGCGATAGGAACTAAATATGTCATAATGATAAAATAAAATATTACGATTTTTTTTCAGATAATGACTGCTTATTTAATAAACATTTATTTTCATTAAATACAAAAATTTACGAATTTATTTCAAATCGTGACTACTTAATTCGTTTAATCAGTGACTTCAATAATAGTGACATTCGATGTTGCCTCTGACGACGGTATTACTGTGACAATTGGTCGATGGTAGCTGAAGTATGTTACAAAAGTATTGGATAAGATTTAGATATTGTATTATCAAGATATCTAATAAATACCGCATCTATTGTTGTTCCGTATCTGGTGGTAGGTTCTCTTGGATTGTTATTAATTTGTAATTGAAATTCTTCTTGGAGAAACGTAATTAATGGCTTTGATTCATCTTTTGCAAAATTTACATTGAAATCCCCAGCTAAAATCAATGGTAGTTTGTCTTTATTGGTTTTGAAAATTATTGAACCTCTGTGACTGTACGGAAATAATCTCTCGTGTAAAAATGAAATTATGTCATTTATTTTTTTATTAGGTGAAATGTACACAACAATCATCATCAATTCACTTCCATCTTCTAGTTTAACGTGTGAAGCACACATATCATAGATGTTTGGGAGATTTCTGTAGCATTTTGAACTACTAAATCCATGTTGAACAGTTCTCATATTAAAGGCTCAAAATACCGACGACAACAGGCGACCTTTATCCGGCAAAACATTTCGTATAAAAAGCGCCGGTAATAAAACGGAATAAAACCGACCCCCCGTAATATCCACGGTTAGGACTTAGGTTAGTGTACATTTCACCTAGTAAAAATATTATTATTTTATATTATTATTATTTTAATGTTTTATAATTATATATTTTATTATTTTATATTATTATTATTTTAATATTTTTATTAATATGGGAGAGAATCGCACAGTCGATTGCGCATGGCGACGCGTCGCCACACCGTACACACTACTGCATATAGACTGTATATATGTACCATCATATAGAGTGGTGACACGTGACGACGGCTATAGATGTTTCACATCAAAAAATCGAAAATAGGGATCTAAAGTCAGAGGTCTCCAACCTTTTTTTACGGCACGCATAATTCGCGGTCCAATATTTTTTTGCAAATAGAACGTGAACGACGTTTATATTTTTAATGAATTTGATCGATTTTTAAGACGTTTAATTTATTTACCATTTAATAAATATTATATGTATAATTGTATAAAATGTATTAATTAATTATATTATAACTAGCTGATCCCGTGCACTTCGTTTCCCGTTAAATGTACCAACTCTATATGACTCAAACATTGTTCAATGCGTTATTTAATATTCGGTGTATGATGTTCTAGATTTATCTTAACTTTTCTGTTGCCCGGAATAAAAATTCTGAATTGCAGCACTACATTATCAGATAGGTAATTTACCTGCGGTAGATCGCGGACCCCGTGCTGTTTGTACGTAAGTGTATGATTTAACTCAAAAAGTACCAAAGTTATACCAAGTTTGACGTTTTTACTTAATTCCACCTACCTATAAATCCTAACCTAACCTAAACGTACTAAAATCCGATGAATAAAAAAAACCAAATTTAACCCTTTTTAAATTAGCGTATCTTCTTCCCATAGGTCTAATCTACACACCGTCATTCATTTGATATATTTACAAAAAATAATAATACAAATCAACAAACATGCCCGATTAACCAATAGCAACCAATATAATATAATACACCATAGAGTAAATAAAGACAACGGTATCGAGTTCAAATCCCAGACATCAATAAATAGTTTTTGCAGTTTTCCTAATTATTCGGTTGACTTTTTAAAAATTTTCTTTTGTAAAAACCTTCACCTGGCAATTACGAACATCTTAAAAAAAATTTGAGACAAATCGGCCCAGCCGTTCTCAACTGATGCAATTTCGAATTGTTTGTCTCCATTTTTATATATATAGATAATAATATTTTCATTTTTCTCATTATAATTTCTATAATATTTGTTTGATTGCAAAATA